GCTGTTACCGGCGCGCCCCCGCGTCCTCAATATAACGATCTGGCTTTGTTAGGGTTGGGTTGTTTTGTGCTATCAAACTTTGCCCCCCCCCCCCCTCCCCCCCCCCCCCCCCCCCCCCCCAACCAGCCCTCGGGACGAGAGAGGGAAGGAGAGAGAAGAGAAGCGGGTCTTTGCTAACTCCAATGATCCCCCTCGGGCAGGACCATCCTGGGCGCGCCCTTCATCCCATTCATCGTCCTCTTCTGCCACGTCGTCGAGACGTCGGACGCGGACGACCTGCGGCGGCTGGCCGAGTTCGTCGCGTCGCTGCAGCAGAGCTGCGGCGCCTCCGAGGCCGTCGACAAGCTCCACCGCCTCTGCCAGGTCCTGTACAACGTGGCGGCGCTCTACGTCGAGGCCAAGGCGCAGCAGCAGCAGGACCGCGACATGACGCTCGTCGGCAACGACTTCGACATGTATCTGAGCCAGCTGGGGCTCGTGCCCCAGGTCGACGTGCCCAGCTCGGGCCTGGACGGCGAGACGGCGGCGGCGTCGAGCCTGGGAGACTGGTTCTCGGGTGGTAGAGATATGATGGGTTTGCTGGAGGAGGACATGTCCATGTTCCAGCCGGAGATATAGTCGTCGTGTATGGGTGCTCTTGTCCCAAAATAATGTCCACCCCTGTAGTTGCGGACTCTCGTCGTGTCCATCCGGCTGCCACAGGAAATATCATCGTGCTGCCCTTCAGTCGGTCGGGAATCTCGGGTCGTAAACCTCGTAGCCCTCATCCTCGGTATCGCTCTCGACCAGCTCGCTCCTCACCGCAGACGCGTCTTCCTTGCCGGGGACCTCTTCCACCTTCACATCCCCCGCCTTCTTGCTCTTAGCCTCCTCCTCCTCGCCTCCCCCGGCCCCCACGGGCACAAACGCGGCCTTGAACCCCGTCTTCTTAAACCCGCCCTTCCTGAACCCTCCACCCCCAGCCGCGGCGGCAGTCCCGCCTCCTCCCCCGCCCCCCGCCCCCGCAGCGGCGGCATCGCCGAGTTTGATGCTGATGACGCCCTCGGCCCTGGCCTCCTGCCTGCGGGCGCGGGCGGCGGCGTTGGGGTCGCGCACCATGGCCTTCATGTCCTTGAGGCGCTGCTTGTGGCTGTGGTCGTACGAGCTCAGGTGGGACTCGTAGTCGTTCATCCGGCTGTACCCCTTCTGGCAGAGCTGGCAGTAGAAGGACTGCAGCGCCTCGCGCGCCGACGAGGTCTGCGCCGGGGGCAGGGTCTGGTGACGCTGTGGGGGGAGAGGGTTAGTGGGTTGAAGAGGGAGGGGTTGGGATTGGAGGAGGTGGCGGGAGAAAACTTACTGGAGGCATTTTGTTAATTATCTCCTCAGGTAGCGCTTTACGGTTTGCTCGCCGGCTGAGCACAAATTCAGGTTGCTTCCTTTCCTAGGTATCTTGGTAGGCTTAAGCGACGACGGGAGATGCTTGACTGTTGGTTGTGGATTTCGGGTTGTCACGATGTCTTGGCATTCTGGCCGGGCACGTGCGTGCTAGCAGGGGTGGCATGCTCCTTACCAATGGACCTGCGTTGATTTGCTGTGGGCCGTGGGGGCCCGGCGTCATAATTGTTGAGGCTCAAAAGACGGCACCCTACCGAGTACCTCATTATTAAGACGATAATTGCAGTTGAACCGGCAGTGCCGGTCGATTGAACAAGATGGATTCCAGACCATTGAACGAGAAGGCCTCCCAGGAAACATTCATATCTCTTCTACAACTCGATCCGTCCCCGATTGAGTCCCCAAAGGCCGATACGGAGAAAGACCTTCCCCCGTTGCCGGAGCACCCTGTTGAGAGCTCGACTTCTTCGCCCAAATCCCCGGGAACTACCACATCAGTAGGCCTAAGCGGATCCGGCCATGGCGCCATATATTACCGTACGTCCCAGTCGTCCCCCATCGTCGCAGCGATTCCACCAGAACTGACCACCTTGTCTTCTCTCCAACAGTGATCCGCATCCAGCGCTACTCCTCGTACACCCTCACCATATTCACGACCCTCCACCTCGTAACCACCTCCCTGATCCCGCTAGCGACGCGCTCCGTGGCCGCCTCCGAATCCTACCTTCTCCTCGCCCGCGAGATCTACCAAACGCCGCTCTCCGAGCCCCTCCTCGTAACCCTCCCCGCCCTCGCGCACGTCGCCTCAGGCCTCGCGATCCGCCTCCTCCGGCGCGCCCAGAACGTCCGCCGCTACGGCGGCGCCACCCCGGGCGTCGCGGCCTACGGCCACGGCCGCCCGCGCGCCCGCGTCTGGCCGCCGCTGAGCTACGTGTCGCTGGGCGGTTACGCGCTCGCGGCGTTCGCGGGGGCGCACGCCTTCATGAACCGCGCGCTGCCGCTCGCCGTCGAGGGCGACAGCGCCAACGTCGGCCTCGCCTACGTCGCCCACGGCTTCGCGCGCCACCCGGCCGTGTCGTGGGTCGCGTACGCGGGGCTTGTCTCCGTCGCCTGCGGGCACGTCGTCTGGGGCTGGGCCAGGTGGCTGGGCGTCGCGCAGGCGGCCGGGTGGACGCCCGGCGCGCCCACGGGGAACGCGGCGCTGGATAAGAGGGTGCGGAGGAGGAGGAGGCGGGTCTGGTTCGCGATCCATGGTGTGGCAGTTGGGCTGGCCGGCTTGTGGGCGGCGGGCGGGCTGGGAGTCGTTGCGAGGGGCGGACTGCAGCTTGGCTGGGTTGGGAAGCTTTACGATGGTCTGTATGACACGATACCCGGGCTATAGCATGGGAAACAAAGCAACCTTCGCGGGCAGAACGTTGCCCAGTTTCGTGGGCTGGACAGTATCATCTGTCACTCTGCGAAGGCGTCACCGATTCCGGCGATTTGCATCAGCATACATATTTACCATATATGCATATATCTAGAATAAAGCACATATGATTAGGCCACGGTCTTTCCCAAGCCATGTACTTGACACTTTAGCGTTTGGCCTTCCACTTATTCGGGCTTGTTCACATGGTAGATCAAGAAATAAGCACCATACTCCCCCTTCCCGCCATACTTGGAGTCGTCCTGGATGATCCGCTCAACCTCCTGAAAGCCGAGTCTCTTGTACACTCCCAATCCAGCCTTGAAGGCAAGCATGAATATGTCAACTCCCATCTCCTCAGCTGCTCTTATGCCGCTCTCAACAAGAGCCGTTGCCACTCCCTTGCCTTTGTTGTCGGGATGCACAGCCAGATAATCAAGCGCTTTAGAAGGCAGGTTAGCATGAGTTCTACAGGCCAGCGAAACTCACAGCTCATTGGCCCAGTGCTGGCCAACAGGAGATATCTCTCGATTCAGGACCTCGAAGAAAACGGGGGGAACGCACAGATGTACGGCTTCTCCGACCTAATCCTGTTCATCACCACGTGGTTCTTATCATCCAGCGCATCCATATCGTCTCTGGTATTCCAATCCGCCGTCCGGAAGAGCCTCTCAAACCCCTCCCTCTCATCCACGCTCACATCGGGGACCTGCGCTTCTCCCCATTCAGCCTCACCAGTTGCCTTCACGGCACGGCCCGGCGGCAGTATCCACCTAGCATACCCCACGATGGCCCCCGTCTCGGGGTCGACGGCCTTCTGGTGGCGCAGCGTCGCCCGGTCCCGGAGCAGGCTGCGCGGCATCCGCTTGGCGCACTGCTCGATGACGTACTCCCTGGTAAAGTCTCTGGGCCAGAGGAGGATCCACGTCGGGTCTTCCCAGAAGGCTGACATGTTGTTGCGCGCCAAGTCGGCGGCGTCGGAGACGGTGCACGAGGTGACGGTCCAGGGGCCCATTGTCGTGTTACTGTGATGTTGTGTGTTTGGTGGGCGAGACGATGATTGGGATTTGACTACTGGATTGAAAACGATACGTTGGGATGGCTGGACTTGGGAGGGAGAGTGAGAACTTTTATCTTTAATGTTATCCTGCTGCCTGTTGTATCGCGGCACAGCAGTAGGATTGGACTTTGCGAAGAACAGGACACGTCAGCAAAGCCAGTTTCCCTGTCAATCCAACTTGCATCTCTCGACGAGGTCTGGGCCCCAAATTCATAGATATCACGTTAATCCATGTTGGCAACTGAAACATGCAAAGTTAACAGGACTAGAATCAAAATCCAAGCTCGCACTATGAAGAACCCACGACCAGCAACATCCACCGTTCCACCCTGAGCAGCGTCAAAAATGAGAAGGAATTCCCGAGCCCTCGGCTTTAACACACGCCCTTTTTCAATCTGATAATCCTCCGACACAAGGTTCAGTTCTGGCGCTTATCGACGGATGGTATGTTGCCAGACTGTGTGTTCGTATACTCCCTCCCGTTTCGCGGCCCAAGAGGAGCTCTGTTCGGATCGTGGTAGCCGATATCAAACTCGTTCCTGTTGTTATTACTATAGAAGGCTCGTACAGGCCCCGGGTTACCCCCGATGTTGTTCCCAGGAGGAGCCGACTCATTCCGCAAACTCGGCATGATTGGGAATTCCGTATATGGCAGTTGAGCGCTCAGGAGCTGGGGTGGGCGATTGTGATATACCCTAGGGCAAGCGCCAACGGATTGATGGCTTCCTGGCACCTCCCAGACTTGACGCGTCACGTCAGATTCCTTCAATCCTTTTCATAGTCACCGCCGCTTCGAGCGCAGCCTTCCGAATATCCTCACTCAAGCCGGATTCCTCCTTTCCAAGCTCCTTCAAACCGGCCTATCCAGAAGCCCCACCGTTGAAGGCACATGGCAGGTGGTCCATGGTATAATGGGCCTCCTTCAACGTAGTTTGCCTCCTCCCCCTCTATGCCATCCATATCGCCAATATTCTCCCGCGCCCACCATATAAGAGGCCTGGCAGCATGAGAGATCCATGTACAGGCAACTTTATTTTACATTCTGTTATACCCATCTCAGCAACTGTGCTCAGATCTTCCTCAAGCGCCAATCGCAAGGCACACATCACCTGGTAGTAGGGACCTGCTATACCTGCCCCAGGGCATCGAGCCCCAAAGGTGTTCAGGTTTTGCCATATCTGTGCAGACTTTGGAGTAAACTCTTCTGCTGAAAATGGGTCTTCCACCAGGCAAGTTAGATACATTATTAACAATATAAGTGGTTATAATTGGGGGTGTAATTGGAGTCTCCACTTGCCCTGCCACTGACGATATGCATCCTTCTTGAAAATAGCCAAAAGAAAAGAAAAAAGAACATACCATTAAAGTATGCTTCCATGCATATAGGAAGCAGAGGCAGGTCTCTCTACACACGGCATTTTCTCTAGAGGTTGAGATTAGCAAATACTAAAGTAGATAAGTTGGTGATGAATACTAACACCCCAGACGTCTAAATCTCCCTTTGCACACTGCTGTAGACTTTCTAGAATTCTCACAAGATACCCGTGTACCTCACTTGCCACATCAGGACTCCGAGCGATATCAACCATAATCTCCCAGACCATCCATAGATAGTCCTTGGCCTCTTTCCTCGTTCAAGAGGAGGACAGGTAGGAAGCGTCAAGCTGACGCGCGGCTTCTGTTGCGGCTTCTGGTGTAGGCTGCATTCCATGAGCAAATGCGTTGAGTATCGTGGTTCCCTGCTCTGTAATATTTCTTCGCCTTATCAATTCGAGATGGAATAGGCTGCTCTCAGTCTCATTGTCTGCCATCGTGAGCTTGTGCGGATGTCGTGTCAAATGGAAGCCGTGGAGGGATGTGCTTGGGAAGGAGGTTTCCGAGGATCACCGGAAAGCCCTTCCGAGTCGGCGTTGCAGTTGCGGAAATAATGGACTGGGAGGAGGAGTGGAAGAATGAAAGAAATTGAAGAATGAGTTGGACGGGAGCAAACCCCTTGCCCCAAGCCACGTGGCGTAATATCTTGTTGCCTTCAATAATACCTACCTACCTAGGTAGTTTGTGCCGTGCAGGTCACGTCAACCGCACCTGCCGCAGAGCATGCCCACCAAGAGTAGCACATGGCCCAGACTAACAACAGCACCTTCATACGTAGCGTCTGACCAATCTTTTCTTCGACTCCCAATCATCCAAACGCCGGGCTCAATTTGCAAACCTAAAAGAAAAGGGCCATCAAGTGAGCCTCATGGGCTAAGGGAGGTCTTGATTTACCTCTACATCGTCGACACTTAAGCAGACTCTTCTCACGGACCCGCTTACCGCCCACACGCCCTAGCTGTGTCTGAGTTGTCAACACGGCCTGCCATTGAAGTGCTTGCTGTGGTTCTAGCAAAAACCTTGGTTTGATCTCTCTATTAACCTCCCCAATGTTTATATCCCTCTAGATAGTCCCGACACAGACTCCTCAGATCAAGCGTACCGTTCTCTGATTATTTCCAAAAGATCTTGGCCTTGGGGATCGTCTTCCAAAGCAACGAGGTGACCTCTCGGCCGCGGACCCCTCCTACGCTCATAGCGATTGCGGAAGATGTGCAACGACCCAAAAGCGTCCCAAGGGTCCACGCGCCGAGCGTATTTCTCGGGAATGAGAGGTAATGGAGGTGAAATCCCATCACTTTCGGAGGCTGGCGTTGTCAAAAAGGTGTACAAACGGTCCACTTGTTCTTCTGAGGGCTGGAAGATGAGACGGCGGCCCCCATTCGGGTAAAGGAAGACATCGTGGCACTGAAAGAAGGCATATATGAATTAGCCTTCGAGGGCCCAACCATGTTTAAAGCGTCTGGGAGGGATTAAACACAAATACGTACGCCTATTTCGTCTTCTCCTCGGTCAAAAAGCACAACCCCGCCGAAGAGGCGTGATTCGGCCCAATAACCGACCATGTCCGCGACACCTCTGGGATACTGATCAAAGGCGTCGTAGGCAGCATGAAGAAACACGGTTGGAGACCGTGGGGGCTGAGGCGCGATTTGCCACCGGGCAGTCGAAACGTTCGCCGGTGTCCAGGTATGAGCGCCTTTGTGGAAACCTCCATCATACTTTTGATGCAGGAGAGCAGCAAGGTCATGGCACGCAATAGCTAGCATTTCTATCAATCGCAGCTTGAAGGTTCGCGAACCCAGCGGCGAATTTTCATAAGCTCCAAGAACCTATTATGGCATGAGAGTTAGTTCAAGCCGGTTGCAGAGACACATGATCGGCAGGGATACGCCAGGGATACGCCAACCGTTGAATCAAACGCTAGATGCTCGGGGTGAAGATCCGCTCGGAATTGTCGCGCGGTGTCTAGGGTGCCCGGGCAAAGTTTGCGATGCGCTTCAATGATGTCGTGACGAACCCCATGATAAGCATACCAGGTATCTGCCGTCGGGATCCCGTCAATGATCTCTGCGTACGTGTGCTCCGCGATGCTTGTGTGTAGCAGGTTGGCGAGGGCGGTGGTAAACGCACCGTAGTGGCCAGCATCGACATCTTTTATTGAGCGTGACATTCCACTGACGGCTTCAAGTTTGTTGGGTCTTGTCTTTTTTCGACCTTTGAGAAGGAACTCTTGAGAAATGGGGTGGGCGAGAGATGGGTTTGTCCGTGCACCCTCTCATCACCTGGCACACCAGAGCCAAGCCCATCGATGGCAACGATGGATTTTACCTCTGCTACCACCGTCGTCGCGTCACAGGATGAGGAACCGAATTGTGGATGAAAAGATAACCAGGGAGCGAGAAGAATTTATTGGGTCGATCGAGCGACAAGCGATTTGCGACTTAGCGTCCTCTTATCATGACAGTGTGGGATGCAAGGTCTTCAGGACGACACATGGGTCTTTCAACGTCTGTTTCTTTGTCGAATTCAACCCTGTATCTCCTGGAGGGAAGCCAGACCGATGGGTGATACGCATACCATTTCCGGGACGAGTCCCATGGATCGACGAGAAAATCGATTCTGAGGTGGCCACCATGAAGTTAGTTCTGCTGCTCTGCCCGTTGTGTCGTCACTGACCGTTTCTCTTTACAGATATGCGCAAAAACACGACCATTCCAATCCCAGACGTAATTGCATACTCGTACGTCGCTGAAAGCCCCATTGGAGTAGCCTTCATTATCATGGAATGCATCGAAGGTACGACTCTGCATGTCCTAGGATTCCGCCAAGGACAGACGTGGGAATCTCGAAACCCGTGTCAGCAGAACCCAGGGTTGGCCCATGTTCATAACCAGCTCGCAGATATGTACATCCAGCTTCGTGGTCTTGAGTTTCCCGAGATTGGCGCCCTTGGGATGCCAACCATTGCGACTGAAGACATCAGGATCCACCATCAACCACTGCCCATCGAGGTGCTCCTCCAACACGTCGAAGGCCTTGACCCTTCACAGTACTTTCTGGAAAAGAAGACTTTCAAAACTTCTTCCGAGTACATCAGAGCCCTGGTTAACCTTGCGTCTAACCAACTAAAAAAGACGCAAGATCCCGACTTTGGTCCCCATGCAGAAGGCGCTCGAGACGTTCTTTACGCATACTATCACTTCTGCAAGTCTATATCTGAAAGGTCGAAAAGGCGTTGGCCAAAGTCGTCGCTGTCTTGGGAGTGGCGGGATATGGAGAGCAATCCTCGCTATCTAATCGTTCTAGCCTTGCTCTATCCAAGCACCATCAGCGAGGTTTACTAGAACTTTCTCGATTTCAAACTCCATCCTATCAAGTACGAATCGCCAGATAGCCTAATATGGCACGAGGAAGAATGTGACAAGAGATTGAACGGGTGTTTTCGCAGAATCGCAGGATTTCAGGGACTTGCTGCAGAGGAAGCTCTCTGAGCATGAGCGCTTCGACAGCGAATACCGTCGATATCTCGACGAGAACGGAGGAAAACCCGGGTACTGCCAATGCGAGTGTTGTCGAGAGGAGAGTGAATGCTTCGAAAGACTGCGAGAGCTTCCCCAGCTGTCCCACACGTCAAGCACGTAGGCCTCCAGATCGCCTATTTCCTCTATCAAGCCCAAGCTCGATGACTGAGCCGCCGACAAAACAACTAGAGACTCGTTCAGGCAAAATTCAGAAACCGCGAGCGTAGATACATCCAACAACTCTATAAGTCGTCGGAGGACTTCGGAGGATACAACTAGAACGACCAGGTTTTTCTCGCCAACGTCTTGGCCGCAGGAATCTGCAGCTCCTTTCTGCCGCCAGGCTGGTGATCCCCCTAAATCCTTGTGCTAGGAGCAAGGGGCCAGTAATTGCCATGGCGAGCAACTCACGGGCCGATGCGGCGTTCTCGGAAACCTGGAAATAGTTGACACAGGCTACAGAGTCGGCATAACGGCGCGGGAAGATGGTCTTGCATAGTCGGGGCATGGGCTGGAAGGGCGGGTTTGGCATTCGCCACCAGCGGATCTCCTTAAACGAGCAGCACCTGAGGAGATGGCTCGCGTATGTGGATGGTCATCTGAAGGGCCACAGGGGGCTGATGGCGGACGTCTAATACGGAAGCTCCGCATCATAATTACATCCATCACCCTTCATCTTTCTCCCTCCTTCGTTTGGTGACTATATCAATTCCTTTTCCAAGAGGAAATTATGTGTAAGACACTGTAACCACGGACGAGTCTCTCAACAAGGCTATGTAGAATGAAAACACGCAGCTACAAAAGTACATCTAAATGCCATAATGTATTCACACTGGTATCACGGCCCCCAAACCCCCAATATTGTTGTCTAATACTGTATATACATGTACGCAGGCGAGGAAATCAGAGCGATCCGTTGCGCTAAGAAGCGCCGACAACAACAATGGCCAAGATGATGCCAAGAAGCGTGGCTAGGAAGGTGACTGGGGCGAAGGCGTTTTGCAAATCAATATTGCTGATGGAAGAGAGCCAGATGGGAACGAACGATAACCCGAAGGTCAGAACCGCGGCGACCCAAGTGATGATCTTCTTCAAACATGGGCCCTGGCCGGCATGGAAGCCCCAGCCGGGTGTCAGAGCCTGCTTCTTCAGGCCGGGTGGTGCTTTCAGCTTGGGAATGCCATCCAATACGGTCCTTTGACCTCGACCAAGGCTTGGGCAGCGAATGCCGTAGAGGATAATCTCGGCAATAATGCGCATGTGAATGTCAATGCCGATAGACTGCTGGCTTGTGTACTCATATCCTTGGCAGATGTTGTGGATGGCGCCCAACGTTGAACAGTCGAAAGCCTTTACGCGGTCGCTGTTATTGAAGAGGAAGTGAAACTGGAGAATATTTAGTTTCTTTTTGGTATACAGCAAACATTTTACTTACCTTGGCGAAATTAACACGAGTGTAAGACCTCCATGACAAGAATCGCTGCAGCCGGCCACCTTGAGCACAACACAGCACCCTTCGAGCTTCGGAGAAAAGCTCAAAGTCATCAGACATGGAGTCCAGCGAGGCGAGCGTACTCATGTTTGTCTCGGTTGCGCTAGTCCAGCATTTGTCAACGCAGAGGTACGACTCCCTCCAGTATCCAGTCAGAGGGGGCTTTCGGGGATCTGACACGCTTGGTCCAGTCTTGGCCCGAAATGTCGGTATCCACGAGACCCAGGTAGAGATTGATGAAAATCTGCTCCTACTAGTTGTACTCGTGGTCGAAGTACTTGCAGCCCCCGCCGCTGGAGGTTTTGGTGGTTGCCAGAACGGGAGGATTGTGCTGCCGCGATTGTACGAGCTCTTTCTCCAACGTTGAGCTGCGTGAGGATCGAGATCAATCGACATTTCTCGCCCAGAATACTTTAAAGAGTTAATTAGTTCAGTTACCCCCCCCCCCCCCCCCCCCATTAACGTGTCTGATGACTACTCACCTCCCACTTTAATTCCGCATGGAATGGGAGCAGCTGTCGCTTAACTGGAGGTAAAGGTCGCCAATCAACTTCAGTGCCTAGGTGTTGTTCAAGCCATGTTCTTGACTTATCAAACCAAGATAACGAGTTGGCTTGGTCATCCCGAGACACCAGTCTCAAGTTCTCAATACCTTTCCACCCATCGTGTTCTTCGTAAACACTACCGACCTGTAGCTTTTTAGAGTTGAGCACATAGAACTAACTTGCTTCATCCATACCTTCTCGACAGACTTCATCAAGTGTTGGCGAATTCTGGCCCTAGACCTCCCATACTGAGGATCTTTCTCCCATGTTGTGATAATAGTCTCCAGGCCGTGGACACAATCGTCGCAGCTAAGGCGTTTCTCTGATTTCGTGACCAACATTCCGTTCTCAATCAAATCGAGTAAATCAATGATGGACTGAGAAGAATTTGGATGGCGGCGCAAAGTGTTCAGCCACTGTATCACGTCAGTCCAGGGCTTGTAATGTGTGTATTCGGAATAGCTACTGGAAAGTAATACTCACCTCAACGACAGCAGGATTGAGATCGGCTTGGATCCCCCCACCATTTCTGTCGGTTCGAATGATGAAGAAGCTATCGTCTCCGTCTTTGTGCTTGGTTGACAGCGTATGGGCCGATTGCAGACTCTCCGTTCGGAAAGTACGAAACTTCCCCGCTGCCTCTGCCCCCTGCAGAAACCAGGCAACGAATTCGAGATACACACATCCGAGGGACCAGATATCCCAGCTCGATGATATCGTTGCGTCGGGGATGTCGCATTCTGGAGGCCGGTACGTTGCTGTGCCAACCAGCCTCCTTGGCCGTTTCTCGGCGGTGCGATGAAACCGCGACAGGCCAAAATCACTTATCTTTAGCACCCCCAGCTCAGAATCCGCCGATCTGAAATGTAAGATGTTTTCAGGCTTTATGTCTCCATGTCTGCATGTATATGTAGCATGGTTTTCCCCGTTCTCGCCAGACTTGAACCTGGCCTCGTTGTGGATGAGTGCCAGACCTCGTGCGATCCCGAGGCATTGGTCCAACATCCACTTGGCATTGGCTATTCGATTCATAGAATCGGGGGTGGATTTCCACATGTCGAGGAGGTTTCCCTCATCAGCCCAGGGAAATATCAAGTGATAGGATCCCTGGTGTTTGAATGTCGCGAGGAGTTCAACAAGATTGTCATGGCGTCCACTGAATCTTTTCAAAGCGGAAACCTCTCGGTTGAAGTCTTCCTGATTGCCATGCCGGATTTTTTTCACAGCAAAAATGGTGTTGCCAAGCTTGGTCAGCGTCAGTGATTAATTCCAAAAACCCAACTTGAAAGATGTGGTGCGCAAGTGCTATCACATACCGACTGTACCCCTGGATCCTTCCAGCTGTGGTGTGACGGGTGAATATTAACTTTCCGGACCTCACCAAACCCCCCCGAAATCTTTGAATCCGATGTTTCTGGATCGTCCAAGACGAATGGGAGCACGGTATTGTCAGACAATTGGTAGTGATATGTCGTTGACAAGGCTCTGGAACCTCCGCTGAAGAATGGGCTCATAAGCTTCCATTGGACATTGCGAAACTCTTCGAGAGCATCAGATGGCCAGTGGCTCAAGTCCGGCAATGATTTTTTCTTCCCTTCGCCAGCGGCTTTGTGAGTCTCAACGTCCCGGTTTTCCCCTTTTAGTTGATCCTCAGAGAAGGGGAGGTCTCTATCTCGAACATCCGCCGATATGAACTTGTTGATGTCAGCAGATCGGCCAAGGAGGACGAGAACTGCAAAGATTTTCTTCATTGACCCCTGAGATATGACAGCAGATCCTTTAACACCAACAGGGTTGGGTGTGGTGCGAAAGCAGACTTCATCCAAAATCTGCTTCATCGCTGGAGCTGATATTTCCGGCACCGTTTGAAGCAATTCCCGCTTGACGTTTTCTTCGGTTAACAGATCATCGAGTCTGCCGATGGGGATGAAAGACGATCCCGCGACATTATCGATGCTGGCAGCTGCGAGCCGCGATTTCAGGCTGGCTATCTCAGGTTCGCTGTCGTTTGTAGCGTCCTCGTGATGAGAGTGTATCATGTTACGTTGACTGGCACGAAGACTGTCGCCCCTGTCGTGCACTACATCATCGCCGTCTTCGATGGCTTCGATGTCCGACTCGGATGTCGCGTCATCCTCTTGATTGTCTTCGGTCTGCGCCGCCTCTGGAACGGAATTCACCAAAATTGACCGTTTCGAGCTGTGGTTCGCAAGGGTAGCGGACGTTCTACCAACGCTTGCGGATGGGTTCTTGTGCGTAGTGAGCGAACCGGTTGAAAGCCTGCTAGACAGCTAGGCGTATTGTCAGTTGGAAGGTCAATTGACTTTCAACTTAGTTCACCTACTTGAGAGCTCGTGCTGCGGACCAGCTCACTTGTTCGCTGTTTACGGATGCTTGATTAGCGCGAACTCCGAGCAAGGTTACCAGTTCATATAGGTAGAAGCCTAACGTACTCGCCGAAATTCCGAGGCTCGACTGCTGGTCGCCGTTGGGCTGTCCAGATCGCATGACCACGACTGGTGATTAGCATACATAGCGGCGGTATATTATTCGTGTCAATTATGGTAAAGGATAACAAAACACTGTATTGAAACGAGCGCGATATATTCCCTCAGCTCTGAAGGGGTAGGTTACAGGAAGATCCCTTGAAGAAATGGAATACCAACACAGGTTACATAAATGGGCGCAGGGCGAGGTGGCTGTGCAAATTCCAGCCGCCGGGGCTCACCGAAAGGCTGCCTGCAGCTGGCGTGGCATGTTATGCCTTCATTTGCTACCTCCTACCCTGAAGGTGGTGGCGCAGCTCGAGATGCAAGGCTGCCGTCCACACCGACCTATCCAATCGGTGCAAGTCAAGCGGCATGTGCCGATGTGAACCGCTTGTCTGGATCAACATCAACTGCCACTCTTCCTCAGAGAGGAGACTTTCGCTTCCCTATCCCAGGTCCTATACATGAGCCATGGATAGAGGAGAAGCTTGCAAACGAGGTGGCCTTTATGGAATACATCGTCGAGAACACCTCATATGACTACCCTATGGCACTTTGAAATGCAAATTTAACGTAGCTCCAGACCCATCGAAACCTAGCCTACAACAAGCAAGAGGCTAAGAGTCAGTCCATCTCTCGAATGTTATGGGGGTGGTTTTACTTATCCGCCCAATGGTAACGGTTAATTAGTATAAATCCAGGTCCCCTAGTCTCGGCAGTCTTCCCCTATTGAAACAAAATCCCTCCGTCAAACCATACACATATGCATCTCCAACGATAGTGTAGCCACCTCTTCCATTACTCCTTAACACCCAGACCTTATCACTCCCTGCCAAGACAGCAACAACATCCGCAGAGCGAACACCTGATCCTGTCGGAAGTAAAGCATTTCCAGACTCATCGATCTGCACCGGAGGACAAGGCGGCCCGAGCCCCATGAATCCCTTCCTCGTAACAAAGAACTGCCGCCCCTCGTCGCCATCGCACAGGACTTCCCGACCTCGTATCTGCGCAACCCACAGCTCGCCGTCACCTTCCCCGCCCAAGCTCTCGTACAGAAACCGGATGAAACGGTGCTTGGCCATCAGAGCCAATATGGAGATATTATTCCGCACGTCCTCGGGAAACATGGCATGCAAGCTGAAGAACTTATCGGGGTCACCCATGTAGCAGAGGTCGGGTTCCTTGCCGGTGAGCTTCTCGGGTAGGCCGAGATGGTTCAGGAACTCGCGCGAATTGCACTTTGTAAAGTGCGCTCGGTAAGAAGCGGGAGCGACCTGGTATTCTCCCGTTGAATCCCCCGTCGAGATGTAGTTGCAGAGGAAGGTGCGCCACAGCGCGTCAAGCTTGCTGCCGCCGGTAGGGTAAGGGTCCTGATCGTCGTGGAAAAGGTGGAACTGCTCCATCATCACGAGGTGCTTGCCGTCTTGTGTGGTGGGAGAGCGGGCGAAGGAGACTTGGTCGAAGATCAACCCCCTGACGGAGAGCGTTTTGCCGTTGATTGAGAATGCGAACTGGTCTCCGAAAAGAGACATTAGGGATCCGGCAGATCGTGAGGGGAGGAGGTCAATTCTCGGAAGAGGGCATTTCTTCGGCCCCTTGGTGAGATCTGGTATCCATGTGGGGAAGCCGTAGATCTTGTTAGTTGCTGGTGCGTCGCAATGGTCGAGCATGGCCAGTCTTTGAGAGTCCTTCAGAGACCATTCGAACGCGCTCCGGTACACATCCTCAATGGACTTTGTGTAGTCCGCTTGCAGCGGATTATCCCGCCCAAACTGTGATTCCGGTCTGACCATACCAAGCATGCCGTAAATACGATCACGGGGATCGGTGACCTGGTTACCAAGAAAGAGCTCGACGAGGGCGTGGAGAGATGGTGTGGGCAGCGATGGCCACAACCCCGACAGCGCGTGTCTATGCTCCCAGAGCTCGCCTATGCTGATCAGCCGATGCCATATCCACCGTTGTCGAACCTCAGTCTTTCCCACATCAACGACAAGGCCCAGTTTGACGATGACGGTGGCGGCATGCCAGAAGTCCGGCCATGGAATTGTATGGCTTCCGCAGATCACCTCGGCCGTCTTCGCCAGGAGGATTTCTTGGACTATCCAGATCCGCCCAAAGTAGGATCTCGTGAAAAGATCTGCCAAGGCAGCCAAGTATGGTCCTTTCACCAGGTCCAAAACGCGGTCGTCAATTACGACTTTTCGAGGCCGCTGTGACGTGGTTGGATTGGCATCTTCCGTAGCCTGGTTATATCTGTATGCAAGCTCGTCGATTAACATCCACGCCGCTTCGGTATCGGCCTTCTCCTCGCCAATCCAGACCAGTGCTTTGGATGCTTGCCCGTAGATGCGCGTCATCAAGGAGACCTGGCTCGTCCTCTCTTGGACATCATCCTGGTTGATGCAAATGCCATCAATCCACAGAAACCTGGTTTGGCCATCAGGGTAACGCAGCCGCTGGAGGATCGCTTCCAGGTTCTCCGTGATTAAAATCGACTCGCCGTCGCAAAAAATGAACCGCTTAATGGTAACCGTTATTTGGACAAGATTCGGCACATCCTTTGGTTGGTATGTGCCTCTGCTAGGAAGACCCCATTCGTAGGATAGCGCTTCATAAACGGGGTTATCATCGAGGCTGGCAGAAATGAGCCTTACGTGAATGGGTGTGCCGCGTGGCCCCGGAAGAAGTTCGAGGATCCGAATTGCATTTGTACCCGATAGGGCCTTGTGCTTATAGAAGGAAGTGAAAAGGGGAGACTCATCCATGGCGCCACCCGCCGCAGGTGTCAAGCTTTTTGAGAGATTGCCTCGGAGGTTTCAATCATCAGACTTGACACATTTGCCAGCAGATGGGCTTCGAGAATTCCTCTCCCCTCATCGCGGTCGGGTCATCCTCATCGCGACGTCTCACCATCATTGGTCGTAATCAAGAGCCCCCTGTCGGCGGGGTAACGTAGTCGGGCCAGCGCATATCTCCCTCTGCCTATTAATTATACGACCAAGTCCCACGCCCTCCGTATTCCTGCGCCGACGCTCTCCGGCTTCGGAACCAAGTCATTACCATCTTTCAAACAACGATCCTCAATCTGATAGCCTTCCAAATGCGGTGCCTGAGCTGGCCAGACCGTTCCGCGGGGGGGGGTGGGGGGGTAGGTGAGGATGTTGAGAAGATGAAGGACACGCCGTAAGGAGATTCCAGAGGCGAGTCTTGTGAGCCTCCATTGAGTAATTGAGCATCATTTTTTTCACTCTTTTTTTTTTTCACGGGGCTAGCCCAGCCAAGTGTTGAAGGACTGTCGAGGCTGTCTAAAAGGGGCGTTACCACGATAATACCGAAGCTCGCATCATAATTACATCCATCACTCTTCATCTTTCTCCCTCTTTGGTGCCCACCAGCGACCTTGTCAATTTGCCCGGCACATGTAAGTCCTTCGAAAGTCCTGGAAGCAAGACTCCGACCTGTCCTGTTCGAGAAATTGCTTCGCTTCCACCACCAATTTTCCAAAAGCATATCGGGGACACTTGACCTCCTGTGCATCAGCGCCGCCGATTGCATCCAGTGCATCTAGCGAACCGAGAAGAGAAGCCGGGCACAGAGAGGAATCCCATCCCGAAAGTGCCAGCCTGTGTCCCAAGGCGTCACCCGAGAAATTCATGGGGTTCATGATAAGACGAACGACTGATTCAGCGACAGCCTCGACAGGGACAGTCATCGGATGGTTCCGATATAGCGCATAATAGACAACATCTTTTAGGTAGACGTGTGGGAGTCGCTCACCGATAGATTGATATCCGTAGTCGCCGCATGAGCCCGACGCAAGCCATTCCGGCGGCAGATCTGGGAGCTTTGCGAGCCAATGGTCCGCCATCTCGGTATCCCCGCGCTTGCGATGAAGCATAAATATGACAAGGGGAATTGAAACTTGGACACAAGCCAGTCGATTGAGGAGGATATCAATAAAACGCCCTTGGGGCCTTGAGATGTCCCACAATCGCTCGAGCGTGGAGATCAAGTCCTGCACACGACCACTGTGCGAAATGGGGCCAGTGAATTCGAAGACCACATCTAGGGCGAGTTGACGTGCATACACCATGGCGTCGGACCACCTATCAGTGTTTGAGCTTAGGAAGTGAACGATCAAGGCCACGCCATCGTCCACTTCGTTAGCCGCAAGGAACGCTGCGGCAAGCTTGATTCCCTCATCCGACCAACCAAGATTGGAAACAACCCAGTCAAATAATTTGGTTAGACCGCCTTGGCCCTGGATGAAGTTCATCATCCACGTGCTCAGGGCCGGCTCGCCGGTTTTCTCTCCACAGACGCCCGGGTCATGCATCTCCATTACAACAGAAAGGGCGTTTCGAGTGAGGAAATCGTCGAAGCCGAGCATGTCAAGGCGTCTCTGGAAGCCCTCTATGGCGTTGGGGATCGCCACATCGCAGTCTTGGGTGGCTCGCGCAATCCCAAGCATCGCTCCGGCAGTTGCTGGATGCGAAGCGCCCAGGATTCGTGTCCTGGTGGACAAGAGCCACTCGTACCAGGCAAGGGAGTCCTTGTACTCGTCTGCTTCGTAGAGGGAGAAGGCATAGTTCCCGAGAACGTTGAGAGCTCGAGGATGCTTGCTCCCGAATGATGACGCCGCTTGACACCCAATCCAACCCGTGATTCTAACGTCGTTTGCAAAGCTGAGGGGAATGTAAATGTAATGACTTAACTCGTCAAATAGTTCCCAGTGTCGGAGAGGAGAGACCCCGTCGGTAAAGTATTTGCGATAGACAGAGGAAATCGCCTCGTCAAACATGCCCTTTGCCCAGTAGAATGCTCCTCGCAACACCTGACCGAACTCTGGCTCGGTGGCCCCGAGGTCGACCCTGTCCAGGGGGTTGCAAGGAGATTCCGTCTCGTAGAAGGAAAAAAGCTCCCCGGCATGGATTGAAGCCCCCCAGCCAGAACTTCGTGTTCTGTAATATCGATACAGCATTTGGAGAGCTTCGAGGGCGACAGCTTCTCGGTCTCGCCGGTTCAGTCGAAGCCTTGCCCACATGTGGACGAGCGGGTGCAGGGAAAACCCGGAAGCGTCGGAATTCCGCTGGACAAACGAGTATGACATGAGAAGGTTAAAAGCCTGCTGGGTTTGTATACCTGGATATTTGTAAGTGCCGTCGATGCCCGGAAGGACTCCGCTGCCAAGATCTCTCACCTTCACTTTGGCTGCTTGATGGTAGTCCGAAAACAAATAGATCCTCTACGATCTCGTCACGCCGCAAGAAGGCACAGAGATGAAGGATCTTAGCAGCTCTTGGCATCTGCTTGCTGACGGCATCGTACGAGATCTCCCATGTCGTGAGGACGGTGTCGTTCCTGTAATCCCATGCGGCTTTAGCGTTTCTGTGGGCTAACACTGTTGCTGGATACCCCTGAAGTAGCTCGAGGTAACTGGCCACCGGGTTGTTCGGCCGCTGAACAGCAATGAAAGAGCCTGCTTGAACAATTGCAAGCGGAAAGTATCCAAGAACTTCCACGAGTCGTTGGGCATCTTCCCAATCTGAATCGCAGCAAATACTATTAGTCGGGTCCGTCTGAATCGGAGGCGTAGGGAGACGCCAAATGCCTGGAGAACTTACCGCTCATACCGCGCCGCAGAGACAGCTTTGCGCTAGCCATCAGCAGGTTTATCGCCTCGTCCTCGTCCATGTTGGTGACCTCAATAGCATCCCACCCGACGGCCAGGTCGGATCTTCTGCTCGTGACAATCACTGCGCCCCATTGAGTCTTAGGGAGTAGCTCTCGGAAGTCGAAAGATTCCAGGTCGTCAACATTATCGAGAATGATAAGCCAACCCTTGTTGTCGTCACAGGATAGCCAATAAACAAAAGCTTCTGTCAGGTGGCGATGAACCTCGGGATCTGTCGTCCCCATTCCCTCCGAGTTTTTCGATTTTGGGGGCTTGTCCGCGTGGGTCTTGTCGAGTGCCTCTTTGATTATTTGATACGTTGGATTCCCCTCGGAGGTCCTGCTGGAATCGTAGTGGATCTTGATCAGATCCAAGTACCTTTTAATACTGTAAACCGCTGATTCCTTGCTGCTACCATCGATCCAGAATATTGAGCTGTACCGGGATGCGGACGAGTAAGCATACTCAAGAGCAAGCTGGGTCTTCCCGATACCACCGGTTCCGTATAAAACAGCAAGTCTGAAGAGGTCGCTCCCACGGGCGCCTTGAAGGATTCGATGGAGCTGGAGGAGGGTTGTCTCCCGGCCGACGAAGTGGCGGTTCCTGAGCTGGTCGACCAATAGCCCAAGACGGAATTCTAGGGGACCACTGGAAAGGAATAGTTCCTTCGGCTCTTTCGCTTGCGCCTGCAGTTCAATTTCTGAACGTTAGAGTAATAAATTAGCAATCAGAAGCTAAACGAGAATGATCGGGTTGTGGACTTGATGTGACCTTTTATTGCATGCCAATGTACCCAGTTTTGGCGAACTCGAGACTCTGCATCGTTGACGAGAACTTGTAGACGCTTGGCGACCCTCTCAAAGTTTGGGTCTGCAAATCCGGAGTATTTCACTATGGTGCTGTGATCGGCGGACAGGCTCACGTCCTCGGCATTTACAGCTCCCTGAATAATGGCTGAGAACTTTGGGACAACCTTCAATGGGGGCAGTAATGAGATAATTAGTGTTCCATGCTCCTCCTACTGCCAAGGTAACAGATGGGGGAGTGACTCACGAGGATTTGGCCAATGACCGGAACCGCCATTTTATGTGTCTCGTAGAAGAATATGGTCTCGAAATCTCTGCTGATGGGGTTATACCGTGCCTGGAGGTCCTGAAGCCATTCTGAGTGACGCGAAACCTGGTCGAGGAGGTTTGGGTTCGTATAGGACATTGTAGAAAGCACCGCAGTCATGATTTTAGCGAGAGGTATCCCCTCGCCGCCTTGGTGCGGCGTTCCGAGGAAGAGAACGCCGTAAGTTGAAAGCTTGATAGACTTTTGCCTCTCGAGGTGGCCTACTCGTGCCATGTCTGAGTGCAGGAGCGCCTTCAATGCCTGATAAGCTGGCCGTGGTGTCCACAACTCGTGGTTGGTTTACTCACACTCTTTATGACAAGCCCCCCAAGACTGTGACCAATGAAGATTAACGGTCGGGCCTCTGTCTGGAGTTAAAACAGTTAGCTTCAACGGCACCTCGACAGTGGAATGGCACGGAAAGGTGAAGGAGTTGAAGACTGACATTCGTCAAATGTCGCTCATTAGCCAAGGACGTCACCAAGTCCTTCCCAAAGTCGGAAATGTCTAGCGTCAGCGGGTTGCTTCCGCCCCTCGTCCTAGAGTCATAACCGAAGGAGAATACGCGTGCCCGGGGAAGCTCGTGAGGAAGAAGGTCTCTGAGCCAGAACACCCCATTATGCGCAGTCCATGACCTTTTCCAATGTCCATCTAGTCCATGGACCGCAACAATACTGTTCGTCCAAAGTTAGCCGAGACTTGCGCCCCTCGTTGACCTCGCAAATTGTTTCAGGACCTACTCGACGGCAGCATCTTCAGGATTTATGAGCAGGTGTAGCTTGAATCCCCCATGGCCTAGAGTATCATCTCCGTCTAAACTTTCCTGGGCCGGGGCCCAGGCTAACGCGGTAGTATGGTTAGAGGCTGCCAGCAGACCCTGGGACATTCGATCAGCCTCATGATTGACGCTTCAGGCTTGATACAGCACAAGAAAGAACTCACCGCAAGAAGTATCGATGCTAGACTAAAGAATCGCATGGTGATAGCGCCAAGATGGCAACCACAACCATGGAGGCCGTTGGAGTTTGCCGCGTATCGGACTCTCAGGCTTCAACTTTACGAAGGTCGAGGTTGGGGTATCAATTCAGCCCCTCACGTGGTGGCGCAGAGCCGCACCGAATTCTAGCGGAGGGGTAGGGAAGGAATGTCCCACTCAACTATTAATTAGTAGATAGCGCATTGTCCGCCTGGCCATCGATTCACGCTTTAACCACTCGGTACTTGATCCATTAGAACGATGACTTCGACGGCCCAACGAATCTCTACCATTACGGTTGATCCAATCACCAGCGACGGCAAAGATGCCGGAACCCTCTTGACGCCGGCCTCCAAGGTATCGAACGCGCACGTAGAGCTGTCGGTCAAGGACTTCCAGACCTTCATATCCTTCATCTTCAGCATCTCCATCTTCGGCGCCTCGACCTTCGCCGTCATCGTCGGGCAGATGACGGACCCCGCCGACATCTGGAAGCCGGGCCCGCCGCCCTTCACCATGTCGCGGGTCCGCACCTTCCTCGCCGTCGCGTGGCTCTGCTTCGTCCTCGCCCTGGCCGTTGCGGGCTACTCGTCGAGCGTCCTGACGCTCTGGCGGCAGAGGGCGGGCGGGGAGTACGACGGCGCCTGGGTCAGGAAATGGGACGCGTTTGGGATTGCGGCCTCTGCCCTGTTGCACCTTCTGATAGTAATGGCCTTCTTGTTTCTCTCCCTGGCCCTGGTGGCCTACGTGGGCGTGGTGGGCTGGATAGCTGTGGGATTTTCGTCCTTGGCTCTCTTCTTCGTGGCGCAATTGTCTATTTTCCAGTGCTTGTAAGTTAAGACTTAGCCCAACTGTCTTCCCAGACTCAGTCATATAGTTCAGAATTTGATATTGTCTCCCAATGTCTCTAACCTTTTATCCCAGGGGATATTTAACGCAACACTAGTACCTCTTTAACTTGTCAGCCTAGTACTAGGTAGTCCTGCCGTCTAGTCTTCCATTCCGTCAACTTTAGGAGTTACATCTTGGCTGAAAGTCTTGCTATCGGAAACTGCGTGGAACTGGAACAGTCTAGGCTTAGAGGAACTTCATTTAGTAAAGCGGTGAAACATTACATAGATAGGTCATTCAATAGAGATACTTCATAAACCTTTGGTTCCTTCGTATCCAGGTAGCACGACTGGCGTAACTTTAACCACTCACTAATATAAGGTTGTTTAGGTACTGCATTCGCCGTAACTCAAGCGCAGATATAATGACCAGTGTCTCGTCTGGCAGGTTTGATCCCGATGAGTTAACCTTGAAACAACCACCTGCCTCTGAAAGATTCGCTGCTTGCTCGCATGGCTATTTTGACACTGAGGTCGCCGCTATTGAGTTAGTTTAAGGATGCTACTTCGATGTTCTCTATGCACTCAATGGCGTAGTCTATATAGACGTCCAGAGTAATTAAGAAGGGGGCGCAAGACATCCCTTGAGAGTGGAGATGAACAAGGCCAAAACCGCAAGATTATGAGCGAACATGTTTTGAGAAGGCTCTTTACTGTGGCAGATTCACTACCTCGCCCCGGATGCTCCCTCCGTCGATCTGAATTGGGCAAAGTGAAGCGCATCACCAAACCAACCAGCCCCTGAGGAAGACTGCACCGCCACCCCGACAGCTTAAAGCAGCAGCAGCACCGGCGCACTCACGAAGACGTAAGTTTTCAAAGTTGAGATTCGGACCAGGTAATTATTAGGCTGTTTCCCCAACCTTCAAAAGTAGGCGCCCTCGTCAGCCCCAACCCGATGCGCCTCTCTCAATGCGAATAAAAATACAACATTTGTTGTTTCGCCTCAGGCAGGAGTATGCCCACCTAGCCCGGGCAATCTATATATCCAAGAAGCCACAGGAGGGCAAGTAGTAAATCCTGTACTCAAGACCTTCTGTTGTAGTCCTAGTCCAGCTCTAGGGACCGAATACCTCTGTACAGTTACATAGAACATAAATCCTCTACCGACGGCTCCCTTCTAGACGGGTACGAGCCGGCAGCGGCTTGCGATCGAAAGCTCTCAGGCATTGAAACCTTCCCAGACCGGACCGGCAGGGGGCGTGTATGTGGTGGCCGCGCCCTGGTAGATGTCGACCTGTGGTCCGTTAGCATGCGTCATTCTCCTTTCTACCAGCTGCTAAGGGGAGCTCACCATGATGCCAGGGTCGCTCTGCGGCGCGTACGTCGGGATGCTGAACAGGTAGTCGGCGGGGGGTTCGGAGTTGCCCGAGCCGGAGATGACGATCTGGGCACACTCGGGGTAGAACTGCGGGGTGTTCGCCTGGTGGAGGGCGAGCAGCTCGTGGCGGATGAGGTAGTTCCCGGGGGCGATGTTCTTTGGGATGGTGCTGCTCCACTCGAGCGTCTTGAGCACGATGCCCGTGCCCCAGTCGTCCGAGTTGAGGCTCGACCCGTACAGGCCCATCTGGTCAATCTTGAACCAGCCCTTGCCGTCGCCCGTGCAGCCGCTGAACTCGCCCGCGCACTTGTACAGCCACACCATGACGGGGCCCTGCGCGTGCGTCCACTGCTTCCACACCGCCGTGACGTTGGTGCCGGCCTCGACCGGCGCCGACAGCTGCGCTGACGTTCCGCCGTTGCAGCGCATCTTGGGGTCGGAAGACGTCATGACCGGGTTGTAGTCTGTGTGAAGGGGGAAGGGGGGGGTCAGTTTGTGGTTTTCGCTGAACAGGGGGTTGATAAACTCGGAGCATGGGGCGTACCTGGCCAGGGGAACTGGATCGTCGAAGGCGAGTTGGCCGGAGCAAAGCCATCGTAGCCTGGGTACGTCGTGCCTCCGATGATGTAGCTAGTGACGGCGCCATGGGCGGCAGCCAGCGGCGCGAGGGCCAACAAGGGGGCGGCAATGTCGAACTTCATCTTGAACGTGTTGGTGGAGGATCTCGCAGAAGTGACTGGGTGGTGGACTCGGGTTGTCTAAGGCAGTGAGCGACTGAGCAAGTGAAGACTCAATACTTGTATCCGCGGATGGTAACGGGAGCTGACGTCAAAACCCGGGGTGGCTTGGGTTTTCTTATAGCTCCGTCCTCTTGGCACGAGGAGGGTGTTCACCCGCTTCCGGGCTCGAGTATATTGGAGAGCCTCCATCGTCAACGGTTAACTCGGCACTTGATGCGTCGAAGTCTTGGCATTGCCTAAGATGTTGGTTACCTTGCAGGGACCATCGTCATCGAGATAATATATTTGGGTTGGCATGAAGGTATCTTGCTCAATCCGGTCCTTCTACGGCAGACGCCAGAAGGAGTGCAACGCGGATGGGCCCCCTGATATTGGGCATCGTGGAAATGCGCGCTTCCGTGCTCGGGTGGCGGTCCGAAGTGGACATGTGACACGGGGCGGACCCGTTGGTAGGCGTGGGTTTTGATTAATAGAAGGGCACGCGCGGTTCAAGGGGTTGTTTATTTCCTGGGATGGATAGATGAGATCATCGGTGACCAAGTAACCCTACCAGTCCCTGGCGCGCGTCGCAGTGTCGATCCCAGCGCTTTTCGACAGTGGCCGTGCTCCGAAATTGAGAGCTCGGCCGCGTGGGGTCCGGGGAAGTGGGCGGCGCCAGTTGATTGGCTTTTCCGTCTCTGAGAGACGACGGTAGCTGGCTGCAAATGTCTCGCGTATAGTGCTATAACAGAGATGAATTAAGCAACCGCGGAGGGACGATAACCAGGTGGACCAGGTTGTCCAATATAGCCTATTCAGGATAAAGAGGCTGAGTAGATTGGCCATCGTGTGTGGTACGAGAACCGCTGGGTCTTCGGCAGCGGGAGGATCCGTAAGGCAGCACGAGATATTAGAGAGGTCCCCATCTCTACGGAAATTCATGCTCATCTGACTTGCATCTTGAATCTTGCCCAGGTGGGCAACAACCAACGGTGGCAACCAGAGAGTGTCGATCAGCCCGCATTGACCGCATCATTCAAGCCCTAACATGCGCAATCAAGACGATCATTCGTACTCTGATAGTACCTAACGCTTGATGGATTAACTTCGCTCCCTTGTTTACCTAGTTATGGCTAGATTGAAGTTCGGTGGTTGATTGATGTAAAGACCAGGGGGAAATCACGTGCACAAGTGCGCAAGTTTTCCAGAGCCGCATTGAGCTGTTCAACCTCACCGGTACTTCACCATATCTGCTCCTTCTTCTCCAGCGTCTTCAGAGGGTGTCGATTACTTGTCCAAGTTGCTAAAACAACCTGGTCTGATATACGATAGCGACCTGTAGAGGCGATACACAGAGCACTCGTAACCAACCCCCAATAATTCACAACCAAAAGTGGCCATGATGGACGACACAAAAGCCCTGTATCTATCCGCCTGTCTAACGCCGCCGTAGTCATACCCCCCAAGTAAGGAACACTCGGGCTGCAGAGCGAAAAGCAAAGTGTCTTCCATCCCCGTCACACCGCCCCGCCCAGTCTCTCTGTGTGACTCCGCCTCGGCCGTCCAGGCTTGCCCGCCGCGCCCTCCAGGATGACCTCGCCGCCGCAAGGGCCCGGTCCCGCTATCTGCTGCCCGCCGTCGCCGACCCGGATGTGCGTTCCGTCGGTGTGGCCGTTTGGGCATTGCCGATCCGGCCGCACGCCGTGCCATCCCAAGATGATAGTGCAGCGGGTGGGCGAGGCGTCTGCGTCAAAGACCCACGCGTCGCAGCCTCGGGGCGTGGCCGTGTAACATAGACCGCAGCAGGCCTCGGGGGTTGCCGGGTTTTGGAAGTCCACGTTCCAGTTCCCTACGGCGTTTTCGATGCCCACCCAACTAGCATTGTAGATGGTCTTCGACTGGTCCTGACAGACTGATGGGAGAGGCATCTGCAATGGGACACATGGTTAGCTTCTGGCAGAACGGGCGCGTCCAGCGGGATGGGAGAGAAACTAACGTCGGATGTCGTGGCAGATGGTGCGGTTGCTGTTCCTGTTGAGGAACCTGCTGCTGGTGATGAAATCCCTGGTATCGCCCCGTGGGTTGTTGTTAGGGCCGAAGACATGGTGGGCGTTGCTGTTCCCGTTCCTGTATGTGAGGCGAAACTTCAAGTTGTTAGCAATGCAAGGAGAACGCACGACGCTGGAGGAGAGAGCCAGGTTATGAGAGATAGTACTATGTCAGGACATATCTTATCAAGGGTTAAAGACGTACCTATTGGGATTTGCGATCACTCCCGTGCCCGCGAGGATAGCGAATAGAACAATTAGACATCCCGCGAAGACGAGGCCCAGGTTGGTCAAGAACGGGTTCTTCTTAAACCATGCCGCCACACCAGCGGCAGAGTACCATCTCGTTTTCTTCGCGGCATTGTGAAGAGAAGGAGAGGGAGAAGGATGGGGTAGCAGAGAAGTCGGAACGGGAAAGGCATCACTGTTGAATGGGTAGTCCCCGAGACTGTAACCATCACCGCCGGCATTCCCAACGACCACCTGAGGGGGTGGATTGGCTCCCTGCTCTGCGAAGGCGCCCTCTTGTGCTGGCCGTCCCAAGAACGACATTGCGGAGGAATTCATTTTTGGTCGCAGCTTCCGACCGCTTCCTAGGTGGTTACCAATGAAGAATGCCCTGGCTGAGAGACGAGGATAAGTTAGATGAAGCCGAATGGGGAAGCAACCAGTGGGACAGCCACCATAGAACTCACCGCGTAACGGAGCGAATGACGACCAAGCGATCGAAGCGCACCCTCGTTGCTATTGAATTTGCGATGAGGATGATGTGAGGTGCCTCGGAGATGCTGAGCTCTCGTACTATGTTTCCAGCTCGGTCCAGGGATAGAAATGAGATGGAATCCTGAGGTAATGGCACAACCAGAGGTTCGGCCTCAGGTACTTGGACGTTCCTGGGAGCTTCTAAAAATGGCAGGAGCGAAGACTTGGGGATATACCTAAGGAGAATTTTGCAAGACTCGGAAGATTCTGGAGCAAGAAGGATAGAGGTAGGTACCTGCCTGCGAGTACCAGCTCTTAGTTCGAGGCGACAGACAGTCGTGGAAAGGTTGTCAGATCGTGCTCGCCAGTGATTCAACAACAGGAGGAAACGAGACTCCGACTCATTATCCTAGGCGACTCAAGGCTAACATGGTAACCAGTGGAGAGAAATAACGATTAATACTTCAAGCAAACACAGTAGAGCTGAGAACCCATATGCGCAGCGCAGGCTATTGCAGTCTATTGTATCCATTTAAGGGGTGAGCAAACAAGACAACATGTCAGGGGATGGATTTATGAATTTGACAAAGCAACATAGAAGTACAGCTGTCCCTTACCACCCGCATCTTTTGAACCATTAAACAACCAACCTGCTTCTCCAGCCAGCCACTCACTGGCAGACCTTGTCATGAGGCAGGCCTTCTTCCCCCTTCTCTTTACCCCAACAGGGCCAAGAAGCACCGGCAGCAGACTGCTCCCGTGGAATAGCACCAGACATCAAGTACCGAGTACCAGGTACCAGGCACCATTGTCTAGCCACCCACCCACCACAACGCGCAATAAATCCCTGTTTTACAACAAGCGCAGGAGCTTCGCCGCATGCTGCTCGATCAAGGCCTCGGTCGGGAAGCTCATCTCCTCCAGCTTCTGGGCGTACGGGGTGGGGACGTCGGCGCCGGTGACACGCTGGGCGGGGGCGTCAAGGTAGTCGAAGGCGTACTCCATGGTCAGGGCCAGGATCTCGGAGCCGACGCCAAAGGCCGGGAAGCCGGACTCGACGGCCATGAGGCGGTGCGTCTTCTTGACCGACTTGACGATGGCCTCGACGTCGATCGGCTTGATGCTGCGCAGGTTGATGACCTCGACCTCGACGCCGTACTTCTTCTTTAGGTTCTCGGCCGCCACAAGCGCCTGGCCGACGCACCGGGACAGCGTCACCATGGTCAGGTCCTTGCCGACCCGCTCGACCTTGGCCTTGCCGATGGGGAGCACGAAGTCGTCCTTCTGCGCCGCCTCGGACATGGGGAACACCTGGCCGTACAGGAGCTCGTTCTCCAGGAAGACGACCGGGTTGGGGTCGCGGATGGCCGCCTTCAGGAGACCCTTGGCGTCCTCAGCGGACCACGGGGAGACGACCTTGAGGCCGGGGATGCTGCCATACCACGCCGAGTAGTCCTGCGAGTGCTGCGCGGCGACGCCGGAAGCGAAGCCGTTGGGGCCGCGGAAGGTGATGTTGCACGGCTGGATGCCGCCAGACATGTAGAGAGTCTTGGCGGCGGAGTTGACGATCTGGTCGATGGCTTGCATGGCGAAGTTGAAGGTCATGAACTCGCACTGGAACGCAAAAAAAGGTGCATGTCATTAGCTCCGGGTTTTCCCTCCATCTCCAGAAATCAGACGCTCCCGTCGCGCGCGGGATATCGGTCATCAACTTACCACGGGGTGTAAACCGCTCAGTGCGGCACCAACAGCCAGGCCGCAGAAGCCGGCCTCGGTGATGGGTGTGTCGATGACCCGCTTGTCACCGAATCTGTCCAGCAAGCCCTTGGTGACCTTGTATGCACCGTTGTACTGCGCAACCTCCTCGCCCAACACGAAGACCTTGGAGTTCGCCTCCAGCTCCTCGGACAGGGCCTCGTTCAGGGCATCACGGACTGTGTACTCCTTGGTGCCCGAGGCATCGGCGTATGTCCTCGACTGCAGGCTGAACACGGATGCAGGCTTTGCGAGGTTCTGTGAGGTTCGAGAGAAGGGTGTGAGGCAAGAGGACCTGGGAGCTGGAGCTCGTGCTGACGCAGCCAGGCGGACCGCAGGTCGGAGGTAGCGGGACATTTTCGCTAGGGGGAACCGGCGGATTGGAGAGGCAGAAATTGAAGAAATGGCGAAGGGAATGAAACGGATATCAATCCAATTGACCGATCAGCTATTGCAGCTGCGTCACCGGGCACAATTGGAGGCTTGGGGGTTGATGAGGTTGGCGGTCTTGGAAAGCAAAGGGGACAACAAAAAGCTGTCAAATGTCCGCGACGGGCGGAATTTTTTGCGGCGGAACTCCAAAACGACGCTTGTTGGAGGTTGAGCTTTGTTGAGAGCCACCAGGGGATTGGTTGACGCTAACGGAAGAAACCCGACCAGGGGTTGCTTATCGGGGGGGAATTCATCCACAAGCGAGGTGCCTGCCAGCTGTACTAAAGGCTTGCCAGCTGGAATGAACTCAAGTCACCGTATCGGCTCCAATGCTCTCTCTCTAACCCATCCCAGGAAGCCAACATTTCCTTAGAAAATTTCACGGCCACTGAGACTTTTGATGTATGTGACTAAGGGTCCAGCAGCGACGAGGCTTTTCTTGCCATTATTAAATCATATATGGTACTGTAACGCAATGCAGGATACTCCAGCCTCAGACGACGGCGCGATAGTAGGTACACAACACATCCTCATCTCATTAAGCCGCCAAACCAAATCAAGCCAAACCCCAACCATTTTCCCCCGAGACCGCCTCGATCAAATCTATTATTACTTACAAAGGCTTCCGGCCAACCATCAGGTACATTGGCGTGAACAGTTTACGCTGTGCGCCAGCGACAAGGCCGTCGGCGCCGGTAGCCAGGGAATCGGCCGTCTTCTTGGTGCCCTTGGGGGCGATACCCACAAACTCCAAAACACCAGCAACGTTGTGCATCATGCGCCGACCCCAGTGGGTCATCCGGAGGATGGTGAAGAGGTCCATGTACGACTGCATGTACCGCATCTCGCCGGCGATCGGCCAGTACCAGGGCATGGGGTCAGGCCGGTCCGCAAGGTCCTCGTGGTGGAGGAGCTCGAACCCGACATTCTTCATAGCGCTGACGCCCTCGGAGATGGGCACCATGTTGGAGATGCCGTTGCCCAGCTCGATGTCCAGCCGGATCTTCCGGTGCTCGACGTCGTCGTTGTCGTAGTTGTCCGTCATGAGCCACTCGTACACGCCAAACACGCCGCCGGGCTTGAGGACCCGGAAAATCTCGCCGTAGACGCCCTCGAGCTTGGGCGCGTGCACCGTCGCCTCGATGGCGTAGACGGCGTCAAAGGAGTTGTCGGGGAAGGACATTTGCTGCTGCGCGTTAGCACCTCGGCTGCCCATCACATGCAAGTGGGTTGAGGTTGGGTTTGCCATACCATGAAATCTCCCTTGACGAACTTCAGCTGCTTCGAGAGCCCCTCCTTGACGGCATACTGGGTGGCACGGTCGATTTGGTAGTCATTGTTGTTCAGACCCGTGATGTGTGCGTCGGTAAACTTTGCAATCTCGCGGGCCGGGCCACCAACTCCGCAGCCAACGTCGAGGACCTTCATGCCTGGCTTGATGCCAATCTGGGCGGCAAGGTAGTGTTCATGGCGGGCAATGGCCTGGTAGAATGTCTCGCCATGCGAGAAGCGGCAGAAGTGGAAGCTCTGGCCCCATCCGTATTCATAAAGATCGGTCGCGAGGTTGTAGTAGCTGCAAGACAATGGAAGCGTGAGTAACCGGTAATGAGGCACGCAAAAGGGGGTGGGTGGGTTGGGTTAGGGGAACTTACTGCCTCGTCAATGTCGCGTACTCCTTTGTCCGTGCCTATTCCAATTGCAATCGTCAGCATCTTGCTCGCAGCTTTGCAGCACCCCGAACGTAATAGGGATCCAAGGGAAACCTACCTCTCTGTCTGCCTCTGTCTCCTCAGCTGCCGTCTTGTTGTCGAAGTGCTTGAAGTACTCGTCAACTGCGAGCTGCTTCGCCTCCTTGTCCTTGGCGAACATGGCCTTAATTCCACCAGTAGCCTCTGCCGACTTGCCATGCAGGGCTTTGTTGAAGGCGGCATCACGCTGGTGATCCTCCTGCTCGAGGCTCTTGGAAGAAGAACCGGCCATTTTCGCCGCGTTGTGTGTTTGAGGAGAGAGAGATTGGGTGTAGTTGAGCTAGGTAGGCAAGGGAGCGAGATAGAAGGCGACGTTTTCAGGAAAGATGGACTTAAAATGAATGTATAATCTTGGGTGTTGCGGTGTGTAGCGCAGTCAGGACGCTTTATATAACAGCGAAGGTTCGAGGGCAGAAAAAAAAGGGACCGTTATCAACAGGGGGGATTGCTTTGCGCGCTATCGCAATGAAACTCCTTGCTGGGCATTTCGGTTCCCGAAGACGAAAACGAGCCAATTGAAATCAGGTTTCGTAATTTTGCGATTCAAATGTTCTAGCCAATAATGGCCAAACGCCTGAACACGAATACGGGATCACGTGCTGAAGAATTGGTAAGCCACAGTTCAAGCCACTTCAATTTCTACACCAGCCCCAGATAAGATTTGCCTCCTTCGTTGTAGCGCCCCTCCAAGCTGGAGCATCGAACGTTTTTCTTTCTCCATATCTCCAAACACCATAATACGGCCACATACAGAACAACTTCGTTCTGCCGATCATCCTCCGCGATGCCGCCTCAGATAAAACAAGACCTCAACCGCTCCGGTTGGGAGTCGACCGACTTCCCCTCGGTCTGCGAGAACTGCCTCCCGGAGAACCCCTACGTCAAGATGCTCAAGGAGGACTACGGCGCCGAGTGCAAGCTGTGCACGCGGCCGTTCACCGTCTTTAGCTGGGCCGGCGACCGGGCCAACCGCCGCAAGAAGCGCACCAACATCTGCCTGACATGTGCGCGCCTCAAGAACGCCTGCCAGTGCTGCATCATGGACCTGCAGTTCGGCCTCCCCATCGTCATCCGCGACAAGGCGCTCGAGCTGGTTGCCCCGGGCCCCAGCAGCGAGATCAACCGCGAGTACTTTGCCCAGAACAACGAGCGCGCCATAGAGGAGGGCCGCGCCGGCGTCGAGGAGTACGACAAGGCCGACGACAAGGCGCGCGAGCTCCTGAGGAAGCTGGCCAACAGCAAGCCGTACTTCCGGAAAGGCAGGGCGGTGGAGGAGGATGGCGCCAACCCCGCTTCGGCAAGCCCGAGCGGTGGGAGCGCGCTTGGAGGAAACCCGGCTGTTGGAGCCGGTATTGGCGGCCCGGGACCCATCCGTTCGAGGGATTCCAGAGCCGCCGCGGCAGTTGGCGCAAGACCTGGCGGAGGGCGTAAGGGCCCTCCCATCGCAAGCCAGCCACCACCGGGCCCAAAAGATTGGATGCCCCCAGCCGACAGGAACGTCATGTCGTTATTTGTCACGGGTATCGAAGATGACCTGCCCGAGTTCAAGATTCGCGACTTCTTCAAGGTCCACGGCAAGATCAGATCGCTGGTTGTCTCGCACATGTCGCACTGCGCCTTCGTCAACTACGACACGCGCGAGGCTGCTGAGAGGGCCTCTCTCGAGTACAAGGGGCGTGCGGTCATTGCCGGGTGCCCGCTGCGGGTAAGATGGGGACAGCCAAAGGCCATCGGAACGATGGATCGTGAGCAGCGTGCAGAGATGTTGCGGGACGCCAGATCTGCCTTCCCCGGCGCAAGGCGGGCTGGTGGTCAGAAGGCCCTCGAAGGCCGTCCTGGCGAGGGGGGTGAGGCTGCTGGAGCTGAGCAGGCGGAAGATGCGTCACTCTCGGTCGCAGCGCCGCCCGGAGCTGCGGATGTGAATTACGCAAGTCTGGCTGGAAACTGAAAGAAAAGGAGAAAAGGAGTGGTCTTGAAAAATGGGGTATGCGAGGCGTTCTGGCGTCCAATTTAAAGACTTAACGTCGGTTTTGAGGTTATATCTCCACCGTTTGCACGGATTGTAAGGATCGCAAGGCTAGCATTCATGGTTCATGGTTTATGGTTCATGGTCATATATATTGGTAATTTGTACAGTGCTGGGTATCATACATAGATGGTTATACAAGAGCATGGCAAACCGCCACCGCCGTACAACCCTTCTTGTTCTTGGCAGTTGTTTCTTGGGCGCCCATCGTGTCCTCTTCGTGGTGTTGTGCCTACCCTCTTTCCCAGACTGTTACCTGTCTGTGCACTTCTTGCCGTCAATCTTGATCGTCTTGCCCCCGCCTATCTTGATTGTGTCGTTGTCGCCTTTCTCAGTCTCCTCGTGGATCCGGAGTCCTAGTAGGCGCCATCGTTAGCCTTGAGAACTGCAAATACATCACAGAGTCTAGGAGACGAAAAGAGACAGGACTCACTGTACACATCCCCCTCCTTCTTCCCTTGGACCACGTTCGCTGTCAAAAACTGCGCTACCTCCTCGGCATGCTGGATGGCAGGTTCGACAGCCGGGTCCGAAGGAGAGAGCGAAGCCCTCTGTCGGAATCCCTCGCGAATCTGCTGCTGGGCTGCGTTTAAAACGGGAGAGTCGCCTGGCCGTTCAATTAGCTGGGGCCATCCGCTGAGACAAGTGGTGGTTCTTCAACAAGAGTCGTACCATGAAAGGCGAGCCGCGCAGCGCGTAGCAGATGCCGGTATGCGGTAAGAGCGGTTGACATTCTGGACAGGCGGTGTGAGATACGTTGGTCTCGACAGAAGAGGCCTCTGAGGTTTTGCGCAATGTCTCCTGGTCGGCCGCGTGATTCGTTATGCCATGGGCTTAGAAGTTCGAGAAAATATGGGGAAGTTCAGAGTTGCAGCTCAAGGGTTGCATGTGGACTTGATCTGATTGGCTGCAGGTCGCCCTCCAAGTGGGCGACTAGCAAGGGTACTCCGAGAGAAAAAAAAAAAGTTGCGAAAATTTCCAAGAACTCCTCCAAATATCAAGTTAGGACCATCCATCGCCAGTCTTCCGCAATCTCAATTGGATTGCTGCAAGCACAACGGCCATGTCTACAACGGTGATATCTCGTTCTGTCCCCACCCTCCCAGAGGGTTGGTCAGCGGAGAAGGATTTCAAGCCGATTGGCAAGATCTCCGCGGCTTCCCAGAGGACGATCGAGCCTGTTGGACCTCATTACCTAGCCCATGCGCGCCGAGCTCGTCATAAGCGCACCTTCTCAGAAGACGATAGAATCCAGGCTCAGGAGCGTGCCAAGAAGATTGAAGAGAATGATGACAGCGATATCAGCGAGCCCGAGGATCCCATGATGTTCGAGCGGGAGGCCAAGGATTGGAAGGTACGGCTCAGGTTCTTGACCGGTCGCTTGCATTTCACCTCGCTGACAAAATGGCTCTGCAGTCTCAAGACCACTATGAAGTCCTCGGCCTCACCAAGTACCGGTTCAAGGCCACCGAGGACCAGATCAAGCGAGCCCATCGCAAGAAGGTCCTGAAGCACCACCCGGACAAGAAGGCAGCCGCCGGCCGCGTCGAGGACGATAACTTCTTCAAGTGCATCCAGAAGGCGACCGAGGTGCTCCTTGACCCCGTCAAGCGCCGGCAGTTCGACTCGGTCGACGAGAACGCCGACGTCGCCCAGCCGACCAAGAAGCAGCTCGCCAAGGGCAATTTCTACAAGCTCTGGGGCAGCGTCTTCAAGTCCGAGGCCCGCTTCAGCAAGGTCCACCCGGTGCCGCAGTTCGGCGACGAGAAGTCGACCAGGGAGGAGGTGGAGAACTTCTACAACTTCTGGTACAACTTCGACAGCTGGCGGTCCTTTGAGTATCTCGACGAGGACGTGCCGGACGACAACGAGAACCGCGACCAGAAGCGGCACGTGGAGCGCAAGAACGCCAGCGCCCGCAAGAAGAAGAAGGCCGAGGACAACACGCGCCTGCGCAAGATGCTGGACGACTGCTCGGCCAGCGACGAGCGCATCAAGAGGTTCAGGCAGGAGGCCAACGCCGCCAAGAACAAGAAGCGGCTCGACAAGGAGGCCGCCGAGAAGAAGGCCCAGGAGGATGCCCGCCTGAAGAAGGAGGCCGACGAGAAGGCCGCCAAGGAGGCCGAGGAGGCCGCAAAGGCCGCGCGCGATGCCAGCAAGAAGGCCAAGGAGGCCGCCAAGACGGCCGTCAAGAAGAACAAGCGCGTCCTCCGCGGCTCCGTCAAGGACGCCAACTACTTCGCCTCGGGAGACGCGTCGCCCGCCACCATCGACGCCGTCCTGGGCGACGTCGAGCTGATCCAGGCCAAGATCGACCCCGACGAGATCGCCGCCCTGGCGGAAAAGCTCAACGGCCTGAAGGTGGCCGACGAGATCAAGGGTGTCTGGAAGGGCGAGATCAGCAGGCTCGTCGCGGCCGGCAAGCTGAAGGAGGGAGACGTGAAGGCACTGGGTGCTTAAGCAGGAGCGCGAAAATAAAATATGGTGGTGAACGCCTGGGCAACGGTCCTCTTACTAGGTAAAGTTCGGTGTAATGCTAGCGCCGGAGCTTTTGGGGTCATGCGTAGATCGACTCCGGGAATGCTCCAACTGGCCTTTGACCAGCGGAAATATAGATAGATGGTAGCTAGTTAATCTGAACTTCTACAACCCCCTATTTCCACTCCTACCGTGCTAGTCCAACGACATCACTCCTATGAAGCTCGAGGCGGTATACCGTCTCTCCATCAACTATAGTCTCCTCGAATACGACGCTGACTACCCATTTCGGCTTATTGTGTACGTCAAATATCTCCACTTCCGTCTCCCTAACCTGGCTCACAACCTCTTCCGTCTTCTTCAGATCCCGAAGCGAGACGAACGCCTAGCCGTTCTTCAACGGCACGCATATCCTAGCCCACAGCCTCGAGCCACCGGTGCCAAACCCAACCAGGAAGTGGCCGCCCGCCATGCGCCGGCCGGCCACCTCCCTCTGCACCGCCATGAAGGGCATACCCGAAAAAGGAGGCCAGCCCAGTTGTCAGGAACATCTGGTTGTTCTTGTCGAAGGAGTCGGCCGGCTGGATCATGGTCGCCTTCCACATGTCGACCTTGAAGCTCGACCCCAGCATTATGGCGTGCCGGTGGTTCCCGCCCAAGCTCGTGGACTGCTTGGGGCTGATGCACTTGCTGATGAACGCGACCGGCGGGGCCTCGGGTGTGCCGGCTGGCAGATGGCCAGCAATTCGGGCTTCACCCTGGCGTACACCCCCGCTCCGTGCTTCTTGAGGTATATCCCGAGTCTTTTCTGCTCGTTGTTGCTGCCGTTGCTGCCGTTGCGACGGCAGTTGAGCGGCATGATCCAGGCCGACATCCATTCGCAGGCCCCGGTGGAAAAGTCGCCGTCGAATCTCGAACCATCCACGGAGAGGATATTCCCGGCGTCAATGAACTCGGCCGGGGATCTGGCCAGGATGCCCCGGTATTTCTGCTGCCTGCTGTTGTCCCTGCTCTCGCCCTGCCTCGCTTCCCACGCGAACAGGGTCAGGTCGTTTGTCTTCGTGATGATCTCTTCCTGCAACCTAACCAATGCCCTCTCGCCTTCTCCGTACAGTATCGGCATGTTGACGTCAAAGATCCCCAGAAGACAATATGCTATATCCTCCAGCCGCGTGGTCGTCCTGTGAGCAGCTCATGTCATCCTCTAGGCCACGGGATGGTCGACAGCGCACCGACCGAGCCGTTCTGCAGGACCTCTTCGCCAATCCCCGTTGCCACCACCAGCTCTTTGTTAAGGCTCGCCTTGGTCCGTCCACACCGCATCGTAGAATTCCACCCGGCCTGGTGCGATGAGTTCCTGCATAATCCAGCCGCGAGTGAACCACCGGCAGTCCGAGAGGGGTCCGATGGGGGCATCGGCTCCCAGATTGGGGAGGTATGCATAGCAAGCCCTGGAGCCCGCGTACCACTAAGACATGGAGTTTGTAGCCCCGGTGAGCTCCGCGCTGCTTGTCTTGTCGATGCAGCAGGTGTCGACCCAGACATATCTGATCCCGGTCCGTTCTCGCCTCGGAACAGGTGAGTTGGATTTTGAGGAACCAGGCTTTGCTTCTGAGCGAGTTCGGGATCCATGAAGTTCTGAACAAGTGAGTACCGCTGACTTTGCCCGAGAATCCACCAGTAGCCGGCTGTGGTAATACAGATGACAAGTTTCCATGTTCCAGAGGATAGAGGTGAAATCCGAAAGCAGAAGTGGTTCGGAGAGGACTTCTTCTCATCGTGAACCCCAATCCACCACGGGCCAAGCAATGCCACAGACATGCGCGTCGTTGACATAAACGCTTTCAGCAAGGAAGTCAAAATCGAGAACTGCCATAATATAAAAGGAAGATCGTTCCCATAGCCTTCCTTCCGCCTACGCCCATCGTTTGGCTGGTCTGCCCTCGCTCGCCGCGGTATCATCGCTGGGATATAATGGAAAACAATATGATAGACTCGATGTCATCGAGTAGTGGAAAGGTTCGAGTTTTGTTGGGAGGAAGTGCGGCCGGACCTGTTGGAAGACTTGACGATGTAATTATACTATGGATATGAGAGGCCGAACTTCCAGAGCCACCTCAAGCTCTTAAAGCCCCTCCCCAATTAGACATATCCTTGTTCCCCATTTCTTCGTGTCGGTCTCTTACTTGGGATGTATTACAGGTGAACCAAAGTTTCCTGACATTAACTTTAGGGAAAGTCCGACGTCTCACATGCCATACACAAGCTTTTCTATTGTCCCCCAAAAGTTGAAATTTACCAAACTTGTCAGGTCCTAGTTTAAGCTGCAGGTTTTAGCCTTCTGCTATAGAGTATTGTATGTCCACATCGCTGCAGTTGAAAGAAGTTGAATATAGTGTCTGCTACAGATAGATACAAGCCATCACAGAGGCTTCAAATGCTCAATGCTGCCAACCTAACCCTGCAGCCTTTTGGCTCGGTTAGGTACAGCGGAGGGAAGGACGAAGGGAAGGGGCGCGGGGTTTCGGCCCATTGCATTCTGGTCTGTCACAACCGATCCAATGAACTTCATTTTGTTTGCATAAAGTACTGGTACCGCGGTAAGAAGCAAGAAGCCAGATCGGTCTTATCCAACAAGGCACACTGGAGGCCAGCCGATAAGTCCCGTGAAATGCCAATTTTTGAGCGCAGAAAAATGAGAGGAACGACGAGGCAGAGAGACATTTTTGCGTGTGCTGGGCAATCAATTGGCGCATAAAGTGAGAGTGATTCACTTCAGCAAACCCCGGCATTTCGGTGGCCCATGCCCCAGCGCGGTTGTTCCTTCGCGTCCCCTGAAATTCTTTTTTGAAACCCATTTGAGCTCAAGCAAGACCACCAAGCCCGAGGCCAAAAGTCAGTTAGCCAACCATTTGCTTGTCTCTCAAGCAGCCGTTAAAGCGGTGTACCACGCCAAAATCATGGAGACCCAGGCAACAACAACCATAGCCGCAATGACAAAGCGAAAGGTAGTGGAGCCTTGGAAGTGGGAGGAGGAGCAGCAAGTCCCTGGGGCGGCCAACAAGCCCGAGGCCGATCCTGCGCAAGCAAGCACTGGCAATGCCACACGAGCACCGCTGGCACCACCACCCCGTCTCGATAGCGAGGAGGACAATCGCCTCCAACCCTGGCAGAGCCTCATGGACGAGATCGAGCGGGAGAGCAGCCTCAGCCCCCCAGGCAGGGACTACTTTCCGTGTCAAGACGGGTTTTACGCCCACTCCCTCGCCGGTTAGGATAGGTGAGTAACTTACCCCTTACCTGGCTGGGGCTGATCATCGGTTCGGGCCCTCACCGTCTGCATGTGGCTCATCATATGACAGACCACGCATCCCTAGACGCGGCATTTTATTCGACGCGCTGGGATGAGGGGGAACTGACCGGATGCGGGGTGGGGGGGGGGGGGGGGGGGGGTGGTCAGTCTTAATGGTAGTTTGGGGTTGTTCCTGGTGTTTGGTTGGTGTGATGAGCGCTGTTAAATTTTTTAATAAGCACAT